CATCTAGACGCTCCTATGCTCTGCAAGCTCGAGAACCGCCGCAGCGATCTATGCAAACACGCATCTAGGCGCTCTGAGCTCCACGAGCTCGAGAACCGCCGCAACGATCTATGCAAACACGCATCTAGGCTATAGGCCAACCCTGCACTTATCTTAGCATCACAAAAACATTTTTGCGAAGGTATGAAGGCAATTGATATTTCTTCACTAGAAATAACCCAAAGAAATTTGTCCTTGTCATGATATATGAACTACATCATAGGAACGAATAAAGACTAGCTTATGTACCTGGAGTTGAAATACCACTGACCTCTTTAGGAAAACAACCGGGGTTTGACTTCCCATGTACGAGAGCGCTGATTTTCTCCTCCAGCTAATCCTCTCCGAAAATCAGGGTTTGGAATATATCATCGAGTCTTTTGCATAATAACTTGAAGTTTTGTTGGATTCTCTGAACTCCTCTCGCAAAAAACAGTAGAGCACGAAATGGTTCGCCGGGTTCTCTTGACCATTCGCCATAAAATGTCGGAGCCTGAAGGATTGACAGGAACTTCACTTACACAGCGGACCGCTGGTTCAAGGCTGCGGCTAATGGCTGGTAAGATTCTGGTGAGGCCAACGCCGCAATCGATTGTCCCACCTAAAGACGATAATTTGCCTCTTCGAGTCACGAGGCCCGTGGGTGTCCGTCTGGATTCTGAAAATGCTGTGGCCATTTATTTATTATTATTTTTCCCCAGCAGCAGGTCCTTGTTCCTTTTCTGTTGCTTCTTCTTTTCTAAAAAAACTCATAGCATATAAAACTTATTCGAGCAGCCGTGTCACAACAAGACACCTCCATCGCCTTCTGACTTCCATTGCTCCTTTTCTGCAGCCGCAGCTCACCAGTTTTCGCTTCTCGTGAGCCCGAGAAACACAATCTGTCTTCTCGACGGACCCCCAGTCACGATGGCCGGATATAGCCAACGGTTAGCCTTTCAATATGTTCACTTTTACTTTTGTGCTCTTTATTCGTACCCTTCGACACGACGGGCTAGCTGTGACTTTGAGCTGCGCGCACGCCGAGTGGTGACTGAGGGTTGATGTCGGCGGAGGTAACGGGACATCGACGGATGTTGACGGGCTGAAAGCGGCCGCAGGCTATGTGCCGGACAACGGCAACAACTTTGTGGATGTGTGCTGATGGTTAGACGCGTGGGCGTGAACCTAATCCACAACCTTAACCAAGGACGGTTGGACACGACTAACGACCTGAGAAGGTGCTGAGCTGGCCACAAGTTCGTTGAACGTGAGGGACGTAGCCGACACTTATCTTTCGTGTTGTGAACAAACTGAACGATACAGCAAAAACTGAACAATGGAGGTGGGCTGATGTTAAACTTGCACTGCCTGGGCCAACTAAAACACCAGGGCCGATTATCAAACCTACCAGCTACAAACCAAAGCACAAGTTTGCAAATTTCGGCTCAAATCAGAATTTTGTGAGAGGGCGGTCATCTTCATGCCCCGCTCCAAATCTGCCGACGACGGATTTCCTCCTGCAGGCGGCGTTAATCGACAAACTCTATTCTCGGTGGGCGGTATCCACCGACGGGCACTTAGCCTGTGGCTAATCGGACCTCGGTTGCGACAATCGGACCTGGGGGTGCCCACGATCCCTTTTACAACAGAAATTGGAATACTTCCCACTTTGGCACTATATCACCGCCAATCTCCTATTTCGATGACTGGATGTTGTTTTCACGCCCATTATTTTGCACTCCTCAGCTCATTGGCCCGCTAAACTCTTAGGCCTTCTTCTTTAGAAAATTCTGCTAGGCCCATTAGGATGTTCTTTGAATTGGCCAGAGTTATCTTTAAATGATCCTTCACCAATACTTATAACATGGCCCGAATAAGCCCAATTGGCAACATTAAGTCTTAACCGAGACCAGAAACACTCTCCCTCTTCTTTATGCCGGCAACGAGCCCTAGAAGCGGGCTGCGGAAAATCGCCGCCACTCGCGAACGGGCGACCATCTAAGCGCAGGCAGCAGCTAATCCACGGATCTGTTGAATCAAAAAGTGGGGCTGCGCCCACTACTTTTGATAGCAGCCTTTGGAGACTTTTGATAGCAGCAAAAGAAGAAAATTGCAGGCTGCTGTTTTTGAAAAAATTCAGTACGCAATTGTGGAAAAATTGGTACACTTCCCATCTATAAATAGATGGGAGTCTGATGAGCAAATACAACAACAACAAAAATACAACAACATTTCAAGAGAAAAGAAAGAGAGAGAGAGCTAAAAAATAATTAGCCTTTGTGTGTATTTTTGAGTTGTGAGTTGTGAGTGGTTTCGAGAGTGTTTTGTTAACACGAGTGTATTTCTTTTTCCCAATAAAATATCTGCAGTAGTCCGGAGACGTAGGCATTATTGGCCGAACTCCGTTATCAATTTGGTGTGTCCAATTTTTCGTTTTTATTTCACTTTTATAGATCCGACTTCATGGAAATTTCAGCGTATTTTTCCCAACAACTGGTATCAGAGCCAGATTGTTCATTCTGTATTTTTTTTGTGTCGGTTACTATTCCGTGAATAGTGAAAAACGAGAATAGTGCAAAATTTGTCGGCGCTACAAATTTATCTGCCGACGTGTTCTGAAACACGGTAGTTCACAAAAATTACAGAAACGATCCGGCAGAGAAGTCAGATCAGAGTCGAAGTGATGGCTGCAGACGAAGGAAAAATGAAAATTGAA